CCCCTCAAAAAAAAGAAAAAAAAAGAAAAAAAAAAAAAAAAAAAAAAAAAAAAAAAAAAAAAAAAAAAAAAAAAAAAAAAAGAAGGCTGTGATAAGGTCTGATTCATTAACAGAAAGGAAGAGGCACAGAGAAACCCTACAATTTATTGTGGGAGAGGGGAGAGAGGAAGGAGTGGGAGGGTGAGATAGTAGCTGAAAGACCACTAGTGATGAATCACAGAGAAGAATAAGGAATCTTTGAAACAAAAGAAATATATTGAGAGATCTTTTGAAATGACTAAATGAGTTTACAACATAGGCTATAGCAGAAGCTGATGCATAAACTTTTAACTAACAATTCTAATGTTCATTTTAGTTCCATTAGCAGAACCTCAATCAGAAGAGCCTCTGGACCCCATAGGGCTCTTCGTGATGCGACCCCAGGATGGAGAAGTTGCTGTCGGTGAGTACACACTGTGATCCAAGAGATGTTTGTGATCTTCACCTGTTACTTGACTCTATGTTTAGTTTTCCAGGTACAGAATGACAATGATGATCTAACGTATATATTAAACACTAATTACTCTCATTTTAACCTACTTCTCTTGCAAGGTGGAAGCATCACATTCACTGCCAAAGTGGCAGGTGAGAGCCTACTGAAGAAGCCTTCAGTGAAATGGTTCAAAGGAAAGTGGATGGACCTGGCAAGCAAAGTGGGGAAACATCTCCAACTGCATGATAGTTACGATAGAAACAACAAGGTATAATTGGCAGAGTAAGGTTCTCAGTGTTCTAGACTAACTTTTAATCTGGGTAAATTAAAAGATACCACATAAATGTGTACAGACGCAAGCCTTATCTATGAAGAAGTAAGAAAATATTTGGAGGACTGGTGAAGGGGTTTACATCTGGTCATTCTGAAAGACAGAATAAAGAAAAATTTCATAGTTGTCCTCAGTGCACAATGTCATATCAGAAAATTTTTATTTCTAATGAAAACAGAGCAGAAAATCAGCCAGGGAAAATAGACATATGGAAAAGCCCTCCAGATTTATAGTGCAAAAAGTGATCCACTAAATATACTGATTAACTAGCCCAGGAAAATAAGAAGAATTTAAAAGCTACAAGAATACCGACTTGTACTTCAGTGGTAGCCACATTTTAATCTTACCTAAAATTTGCAGTTTCATCAGTTACTATCCACTGCAGGATTTCTTCTACCTCTCTACCTTTCTCTGTAATAGGTCCTGACCATATTTAAGCAAAAATAGTAAATCAGACAGACACTTAAGGAGGATTTATCTTTTTTTTACATGAATCAAACACCCAAATATCAGTCCTGAATTTACTGCTTTTTTTTGCACTGACTATAACATCTCTAAATAGTTCAATAAAATCCTTTTCTGACACAAATGTGTCCAAGGATACATAGGACAGAAGCACAATAGAGTCTGTGCCATGACTTCTCATACTGTGTAGTCTATGAAGCACTACTACCCTCTCCTGGATAGAATACAGCATACCTGCTCATATGCAAATCAGCCCCTTTTTTTTTTTGCTTAATTTTTGAATTTCCTGCATCTATTCCGGTTAACAGCTGTATGTTTAACTAAAGCACTTTTCCTGTTTGCAACACACATGCAGTTACTATATGTGTCAGCTGTGGCAATATATGCACGAAATGGCCCTTAGCCCCATTTGCTCATGAGACATTTTATCCTCTGGAAGACCTGTACTGATGATGCTGTTCCCACCGAACGGGACACATGTAGTCTTTATGGCAGTAACGAGAAACACTCAGGAGGTTCTTATATCTAAAAGGATGCAGAGGTATATTTCACCCCTTGTCTACTTCTCTTAATGTCTTAATAAGCTGTATAAAATCTGTATCTATTTTATCATTACATTTTCTAACTTTCTAAGTGTATTCACTGGTATCTATTCCAGGTGTACACCTTTGAAATGGAAATCATAGAAGCAAATATGACTTTTGCAGGAGGGTATAGATGTGAGGTGTCTACCAAGGACAAGTTTGATAGTTCTAATTTCAACCTGACTGTCAATGGTAAGATGAATTTCTTCTGCCTTGATTTTTACTTTTTTCTTCTTGTATGCCCAGCAACAATTCTTTCTGATACATAGTGGCTGTTAGGTAGGCAGATAGGAGGTAGATAGGAGGTACTTTAAGAGCTGTCATGTATGAGTATGTCATGCTGCAAATTATTATATTCAGTTATACATTAAACACTAGAAAGCTTGTTAGTGAAGGCTATATGTTTCAAGAGGCTGCCGCAGTCTTAGCGTACATGATTAATCAAAATCTAAAATACAAGAATAGCGAAACAAAGATGGCTGTAAAGGATAAGCTTTAGGAATAGCACAGTTTTGATTTCCGCATTATGTTTACTTGTCCTTCCATTCTTATTCCTCACTCTTTGTCTCATCAGAAGTACCATTAACTGGAGATTTGGATATTCGCTCTGCCTTCCGGCGCACGTGAGTATATACATTAGAAATTTATGCAGATCAGATCTGAAATACATTATTTTGCTCGACAAGACTAACTAAAAGGAAAGCTACCATACAAAAAAGCACAAAAGCGGGGTATGTCTACTGATAAAATATTTCTAGGATTAAAAAGCTGCCTAGAAATCATCTAGGAGAGTTAAGACTTTATACAGCCATAATAACTATGATGATCTCCAGTTATGCCATATTTGCTAAATGAGGATCTGGACTTCGATGTGAGCCCTATAAGTAACACATCACCAATAACATTAATAGAAGCATTCTATTTTTTTTCATGTTATAGAAATAAATTAGTTGAATGTAGACAATGATACTATGAAGTGTCTGTGTAAAAGCTCAGATATAAGCAGATCCTAGATACTGAGGACTGCAAGGTTTTGCATCAGTATTGAAAAGACAATTCTCCCTGTACCTGTAATATGGTCCCAGTTTAACCCCTCTACTAGTAAAATTTGCAAAGTTGTTATACAGATTTTGGTTAAAAATTAAGACAATAAGAACACTTTTCCTTGTTTTTGAGTAGTCCTTCTCCTTTTGTGTAAATCAGTTTCTGTTTTAGTTTTTGTATATACACATATATGTAAAATTATTAACACAAGTTTATTACAACTGACATCCATTTCTGTAACATAGGAGTTGATTTGGCCAAGGCAACAGCTAGAGGTTTTTTGTATAAGCCCCATTTTTATGTCAGATTTGATTTTGTGTTCTAAAAGGCTTGCAGAATTTATCTATGCTCAAATCCACCTCACTGTGGTGCCTGTTAAAGACAGGACATCAAGGCCACAGATACATTATGTTATTTCACTGAGGTGCAATTAGGCTTCAGGAGTTTTCTTCTAGCTAGCACAATTAATTATTTTAGAACCTGTTCAAAATTTGTACAGCGTGAGCCATTTCAAGATTTTTGTCGACAGCTTAAAGGAAGTTGAAAGCTCTCTGTCCAAACCACATTTCTGCTTAACATGCAAGCCCTAGGTAAACACTCTTGTAAACAGACCAGTCTGTGTGACAAGCTAGGAAGGACCAGGAGGGCTGTAATGCCCAAGCTACCATTCAACTTGGTGGAATAAAGCACAATAACTTTTTAAAATAGATGAATTATTTTGGAGCTGCAGGACTTTAATAATTCTACCATGTCGATACAGAAGATTAGAGTAAGGATTTGTAGGTTTCTCTTTAATACAGCAGCCAAATATTGAGCTGAAATGTTTAAATCTGAAGCTCTGTGTTTGATATCCTCACTCAGGAGCCTCGCAGCAGCAGGGAGACGGATGACTTCAGCCTTCCTCAGGTAGCCTACATTTGTATCAGCAGAAAAATTTAAGTCTTAAAATGAACTGTCTCTCTCTGATCAGGAAAAGAACTCAGAACTAGCTGTAACTTTGATTTTGGATATTTAAATTCTAAATAAATCATGAATTACAGTACTTAGCACTTATATGAGAGTAGAAAATTAAGTGCTAAGATGAGCATAAAATAATAACAAGAATAGTTCGGCGAGAGGCAGGTTCATTTACAGGAAAGGCATGTGTTTGGTAAGTGGCATCTTCTCACAGTTGTTACAAGAAGAAAGGTAATGTCAAATTATACGCATGTCCGCTCATCTATTTTTACACATTATCCTTCTGTACTGAACACAGACTAACTGCCTCTCTGCTCACAAAACCATATCATCACACTTGTATATGAAAATCCAGCCTTTCCGGTCACACTCAAACCTAATATCATTCAATATCATCAAATTAATGTATCATTAATGTATCATTGGATCTCCCATCTTACCCCTTTTGGTCCCAATGTCTTCAACTATAAATAAAACAGGAACTCTAAGATTAGGCTTAACTCCGTGCATGTTTCAAAATGTAATTATTAAGGCCTTGTTTCTCTGAAAGCTGAACATCTTTGACATTTCCACAAAATCTGATTATAAGATCACCTGGGGAGCAATAAGGTGTCTAGTTCCTCTCCCAGTTGTAGATTCTGATTTCCTGAAAATTTGACCACAAGAAGCCCTTTTCAGACCTGGAAATATGCTAGTGACTTTTATATATAGTTAATACCAGCTGCTATTGAAAGTCTTCTGAAAACAGAGTTCAAAGTGGCCAAAAATATACTTGGCAGTCTGAGCATCCATACAAGAAAATCACCTTTGCAGTAGTGAATCTTGAAAGCAATCACAGAAGTAAAATAATACTTTCTTAAACAAAAGACCTCTCCTCACAATTTATTTACTAACCCTGCATTGGCCAGTAGCACAAAAAGTTTGGCATTCTTTTTTTTAAACGTTTATTGCCAATATGGGTAAGATGCCAATCAGTTACTTGTTGAGGATGCTTGCCCTACATATTTTTGTATTTGTTCCTGCTGTAATGAGTTTTCCTGGCATTTTGGGTGGTGCTTCCACACACAGATTAATTCCTCAGAAGCAACTAAAACTGTGCTGCCAGGCATAGCATTAGGGGCAACCAAAAACATTAGCTCTTTTGAAGAGAGTAATTTCTATTTCTCAAACAATACACAGCTCAATGTGATGTAAGGTCACATATATGACATCTTCACTAATGGAAGACCCTAAATGCTGTGAGATGGCATCACCAAATTCCTATTTTCATGACAACAGATGTCAGTGGACAGCTAAATATTGACAACAGGAGACTGAAAAGAAGAAAACCCATTTTGACTTCCTAGACCGCTTCTGAATAAAAAAGGAAAAAGAATTTTTTTTTTTGTAAATTGAACATACATTTTTAGAAAATAGTAGATACAATAACCCTGAGAATCAGTGCAACTTCCAATATTTCACACAAAATTCCTGAATACTAAACTCACTGAAGTGTTTTAGTGACTCTGCATTAACTTTTCAGAGTAGGTCTGCATTTCAAATGTTCAGAAGCACAGCTAAAACACATCTGGTTCAGAACACCAAAAATACCTTTGTGCATTCCATCTGACTTCACCACGAATATAACACTGTATTACACACCAAAAAAATGCCTGCTTTTAATGAGATTGCTTCTCATTCTCATGAATCAGTTCCTCACACCATTGCTTGCTGTGCTGCTTGCTGAACGTTTGCATGATGAATCTCACCTCAGAATAAGATCACAAAATTCCTTCTTCAACTCTCCCAAGCATCAGTGATGTGACACTATTTTCAGGCTAATGCACTCCATATCACAAAGATCCCTAGGAAAGAATTACAGCTAGGCTAATGCTAGAAAGAAATTATGATTCTTTAAAAAAAGTTCAAACAAAAGGTTGTTTTAACTGGTCCATGCTACAGAAAATATCCCCATCCCTGAAATTATATCTTCCTGAGTCATTAATGATTCTAAAGGAGAATTTCTGCAACATTTTTATAGTAGTCATATCATTTCAGATCAACAGGACCACCAAATTAGTTACCTGTACAATTTCCTTCATTGTAATGACATAAGAAATACAAGTTCAATAAATACATTTCTTAAAATCATGATTGATATTCTAAGTGTTCACCTTCCGATGCATATTCTAAGGTATTGTAAACCTACTACTTCCCTCCAAAAATAATCATGTGTATCTAAGGCTAGTCACACAAGGCATCCCAATTTCCTTCTGAAACTAATTATGTTTTTCTGTTACTGTACAGTACTGAAGGACATGAAGAAACTGGAGAGTTGAATTTTAGTGCCTTACTGAAAAAGAGGTGAGTAAAAATCTGTAGTCTTTGAGAAATAACATAACAATCTTCTGTAGAATAACTCCTTGTAGTTTTCCTGAAGCAGCTCTGTCTAGAAAACTGATGAGAGGAAGTTACAGGAAATTCTCAGGTACTCAGTTTACTGTGTTCTTGCTGGCTTCTTACTGGAGAAAAAAAAAAAAACAAATCTTTCCCAAGAGAGAAAAGGCTAGGACTAGACCAAATACATGCTTCCATCAGCAGTTTCATTAAAAAAGAAAAATGAAAAAACAACTTGCAATGCCTGTGCATAATGCTGCTTTATTAAGAACTTTCTAAGCTTCACAGTGCTTGGCATCAGGAGGTGAGGAAGATTACGATTATTTAGATATCTAAATACATTACACTATCATATAAATTGCAAATTAGATGCCTATGTATTGTATAGGTATTCTATGCTGTATAAATATTATATAGATATTGTTTAGTCTTCGGAAGCTAATTCTTATTTCCAGCTTTTTTTTTTTTTTTTTTTTTTTTTTTGAGTAATTTGCATGGAATTTCTTCCTTCCATTGTCATCCTTCCTTTCCGTGCCTTGCTCTCTTTTCATAATCTGTCTGCTTGTGTTTTCTCCTTTTACCACCATCTTAATCTGGATGTTTTTGGATCCAACCACTGGCAACAGAGAGTAAGATTTCTATTTCATCTTACTATAAAATGCATGGGTCAAACTGGGAATATAAGAGCCATGTGGTTTGAAATAATGCATGCATTTTATCTTACATACTGAGCATTACAAAAACTAGATAGCGTAGCAAAACTTATCACCTGTCAGCATCTGAGGCAGACATGCTTTTAAAAAGTTTGTAGAGGTCAGGGTAGACCATTTAATCCAAATCAGTATATTTTTCTGAAAGGTCGTCGGTTTTGGCTATCATTTTCCTTTACAGTCAGTTTCCTATAATTTATGTATTGGTCCCAATCAAATATGTTCCAATGTTTTGTTCCATCCATTCTCAGTATTCACATTTCAATATTAAAAAATATTTCTTTTTATTCCAGGGGAAATTCTTTGGTCATTATGACAGTGTTACTCTGGACTTGCTTCCTTGTGTTTGCTGACCATGACCACTCTCTCAGTCTTTCTAACTCCTCAAGCCATTATAAGTACTTGTTACCACACAGATGCTTTGCAAACCTAAACGTGCTCAATTTCAGTTTTAACAATCAGCTACTTATGTGAATGTTGTTGTTCTAGTCCCTGCTCAGGTGTTTGTATTACTATATGTAAAAAATATTACACAGGATAGGGCCATAAAGTAGCTTAATTATGATAGGCAATAAAGCCCCAATAGCCTCACATATCACTCAGTTAACACAGCCAGGTTTCAGTACAGCAGACAAGATCACGGAGCTGTACGAAGCTCTCTGTTACACAATATGCAACATATTCAACAAGAAGGTGGGATACAATGATATTACAAGCAGAAGTCCAAAGGGGTGAGAATACCTAGCAGAGGCAGAAACTGCAACTAGCAAACTTTCAAATGCTTCTGTTTGCTTTCAATTTCAATTGTTTTCAATGCCAGCAAACAAAGCTAACCTTCATAACAGTTTCTTGCTTGATCACAAACCCCAGAGACAAACAATGCATTAGGTATTTTTTTTTTATAATTATAAAGTAAGAAAATTTAGTTGTCTTGAAAAGTGCAGCCATCAAACTTGTAGCAGTTTGACAGCTCAGACAGAATAGTTGTGCACATATTGTAGTCTCTGTAGAAAATGTAAGCCAAGGAAGGATTCTTGATTACTTTTTAAAATTTAAAATAAATTTAAATTAAAATAAATGGTGCCCAATATGAAAATATTTTCATAATTTCATACACTGACACCAGCTGGAATAAATAGCCTGTCATTCTGCCACTTGCTTGTGCTTTCGTAATTAGAGAAGATAGAACTCTAAAAAGTAGTAAGAATCTCTATTATTTCCAGAAATTTGCTGATTTAACTATTTGTTTTTTGCCAGTGTAGAAGTAAAATTTAATAGAAGAAGCTTAAACATTTAACTACCTTCTGTTTTAGCAGAGCTTTTACCCTTTCTTGATTTATACATCCCTCTTTGGTGAATTTAAGCATACTAGTAAGTTCACTGCTCCTGCTTGCCTTTCATAGCTGCTTTAAAAGCAACCTGTGCATCCTTAGGACTTTGCATACCAGAAGTTGAAAATCAGTCAGTTATTAATGAGATCTGAAAGGAATAAAAACTCACTGTATAATGAAAACCTTCTTCATTTCAATTCAAAAAGGGATATCATGATGAGGAACTCTCAAGATATATGCAGATTCAAGTAAAATTGAAGATGATTCTTTTTTTTACCACTTCCTCCCACCTAATTTAGAAGTGCACCTCAATCCAGAGGTAATGAACATTCCCAGTCTATTAGAGAAAGCTTTATCTTTTATTCACTGTAATTTAATTAACTGGTGTTGACATACAGATGTCATGGGCCAAGGAGAGGTCACTGGAAGAGGAAGGTAACAGTTGTCACAAAACTATTAAATGGGATAGTGAGCCAAGACCTTGAAGGGAGGTGACAGCTGACAAGGTCCAATCAGTTGACAGTAACAGGATAGGAAAGAACCATCTCTGGGATGTACAAAACTATTTTTAACCCTCCTACATATGTTTAAAACATATCAGCTGCATATTCCATTTACAACAGGTTCACTGAGTGGTATCTTAATGTCCCCAAGTACATAGTTAACCTATGAGGTGATCACTCTGGATAAGGATCACCACTATCAGGGACAGTAACTTAAGGGTGGTAGAAACTTTAGGAGTCCAAGTTCTCTATTACTTTTCTGACACTGTGTAGTCCCCTCTTGGTAGGGAAGAATATAGTCTAACCATGAAAACTCTGTATCTTTACTGAAGCCAAGAAAATGTCTTAAAAAATACAAAATTGTGAAAAAAAATGGTGAAAAGGAGTATTAGGATCAGAAAACGGTTGCTCAGAGGCAGAGACTTATTTATTTTTCAGAACTCAGTTCAATACTGTTTAAACCTCTAGCTGTACCATTTTACTACACACATGCAGCTTCTAATCCTTTTCCTGTTAAAATTTGTATTTACAACGAAGAGACTACATTCTCATCTATGCTCAGATTTCTTGCATTTCAGTTTGTGAGCACCAGAACAAAAAGTGTGATGACACTGAGTAATGGAAAAGTCAAAGCAATAAACAAGGAAGTCTTCTCAATAGCGAGATATATTAAGCTGTGCTTGGAATTGCTTCCAAATTGGAAAATTCATCTCATGATGTATTCAAAAATAGCTTATACAAAATATTTTAGAAAAATCCATGAATAATCCTACCTGCACATTTTTAAGTTAAGCGGGTGTTTACAGATAGGCAGATAGGAGACAGATGGACAGAGAGACGCTCAATATTTAAATAATGCCCAATAGAAGTTATCTTATGAAACTTTGAATCTAGTAAGTCTTTCCTGCCCTCTATGATTTTGTATTTGATTTTGAGATACTGCTCACATCACAGAATTTTAATAGTGTTAGTGCAGACATCTCAGTATACACTAGAAGTATTTCTATTTTTATGTATTTAAATACTTATTTCTAATTATATCTATTTAGAAATATTTTAACTTTGTGTATTGATAAGAACATGGCAACCAACCCAATTAGTGCATATGTTCAAAAATCTTGGTCTATTTGGCAAATCACTTTAGGAAAAGCTACAAACCATTGGTAGCTGCCCCAAGTAAGTGACAAAGAATAGAAATTCTGATTACATTTTTGGTTGATGTTAATGCACTATTATGGATAAGGTAATACTCAGTATGCTGTGCTTGTTACAAGAAGTCCAAGCTTCAAACCCACTCATCAGTCCAGTGAGTGCTACTAAGTGCTTACTGAATGCTAACCCACCACAGAGGTATGCCCGAAATCCTCATGCCTCCCCACTCTTTTTCAAGAGGTACATGGTTCATGGAAATCCCGAGCCTTGATTGCAAAACTGTTACAATCACAACTCTCCTGTTAGAAGCAAGCCCTTTCTTGGCAAACACAAGAGTGCTAGAAACTTTTGCATACATCTACAGTACAAATTGAGTCCATTCATAATTTGTCAATGTAGTGACATTTCTCATAGACTAATAGTATTATTCTTTTCCTAAAAAAAAAAAAAAAGAAAGAAAAAAAAGAAACAAAATACAGCCCATAATCCTCCAATTTTCTTGGAGGATTTCTTGTGTTACTCGCTGCATATCTTGCCTACTTGTTGGGGCTTACCACTATACATGGCTTCATTACATGGGCATATTCTATTGCACTGGAATCTGCTTGGTTGTGGTGATGTCAAGAACCAAACCCACTGAGTTCCTTTACCTAAATGGAGTTCTAGGAATATGTTACATCCTTCAAAGTTGCTGGAGCCTCTATGTTACATTGAGAAATTGGCATCACCTTCCTCTTTTTACCAAAGTATAACCTATGACAGACAAAAGCGCCTTGAAAATATGGCAAAATAGGGTTACTTATTTGCTGTATAGCCATCACTCAAAATCAGGAACCAGCTGAGATGTTTATCATATAAATTAAACAGAGGAACTCTACAAAGTGTGAGAATGCTTGATTTCACCAGAAAACAGCATTTTCCTCAAGCATATTTCAGTGCCAGAGCTCCTTCATCTCCCTGCTACTCAAGCACAGGCTTGTTTTGCTAAAGGTGAAAACAACATTGATGGCTTTTTGTATTAACACAAGATGCTCTCTTTCTTGTCCACTGGGATGCTGCATGTTTTTCCAAATGTTTCTCTGCATCCTTCTGGAGTCCAGCAGCTTCCTGCGCTCAGTAAATCGGTAAGGTTTCATCAGTTTCTATTTTCTGTTTCTAAACTTTTAAATAAAGGACAAGAAAACAATGTCTTTCCCAAAGTCATACAGCCTAATTTTCACTTGGTCTGCTAAACCGAAGGTTATTTCTGCTATAATCACTAGTTCTTTAATTAACCTATGAATTAAATAGTTCATTTGAAATACCTTCTATGAGCTTCTTGTTTGCCAGAACTCACCAGTCTAAGTTTTCTAGCTTTATGTTTTGCAGCTGACTATAGCCCATATTTGCCTTTATAATAATCCAGGTAATTTTAATAATTTGTGAATCATTTTAGAGTATAGATAAAACACCTAGAGAAAAGGACTTTCTTCTTATTAAAACAAAGTTTGTTTTTAAGGCATTCTGAGGATATTGGTTCAATTCCTTGTTTTGCCACATTTTGTGTATGACCATCCAGGCAAACCAGTCTCTCTATTTCCATTACCTATTGTTAAAAGGGAGCTACTATTTATTTGCTTTGGCTTTAGACGGTAAACTCCTCAAGACAGGATTGTATATTCATAGCTGCATGCACACATTTAAGAAAATTAGACCCCAGTTTCATTATTTTAGATATTAATACAATAATAAGTTAGGATTTCTGAAATCTTAATTAGAAACAGCTTCATCAAGCCAATATGTAGTTTGTCAAGCCTATGTTTGTTTTGAATGCCTTTCAATAGTTGCAATCAGATATTGCAATCCCTTTCTGCCAGAGGTGAAGCAAAATCTGAATCCCAGCCTGATGTTGATGTTTGGGAAATCCTGAGGAAGGCTCCTCCTTCTGAATATGAGAAAATTGCTTTTCAGTATGGTATCACAGATTTGCGTGGGATGCTGAAACGTCTCAAACGTATAAAGAAGGAAGAGAAAAAAAGTACAGGTTGGCAAACTATACTTTTTCCTAATAAATGTGTCCATAACTTGTTGGTTTGGGGTTCTTTATGTAGTAACATCAGTGGGACAGCATACAACAGATACAAGAACATGATAAATATTTCTAGCCTTGTCATATATTACCACCTTTTAACTTTTTATTTATTTATTTAAATCTGAAGCACACTGCCTTTTAGTAGTACTAAGAACGGCATCATTTCTTTATGGAACAGACTTTCAGTTAACTAAAAAGTCTGTTTAGGAAGTGTTGAAGGACATATTCATGTGATATGTGCTAGATTTAGAATATTTTACTAGGTTATTCTAATTAACATTATATGCTTTTCCTCTTACACTATACTGTTGCAACCTCAGAATAAGATGATAATGACAGAAAGAAATAGTAAAAATTCAAACAGAGATCCAGGAAGACGGGAAGTTTTAAGATCTATGCAACAGGAAAGGGAATAATAAATTCCTTTCCTAACAGAAGATCTGGGAAAAAAAAGAAAGACAAATTTTTTTAACCATTCTTCATCATAGCATTCCTCAAGAAACTGGATCCAGCTTACCAAGTGGACAAAGGACAGAAGATTAAATTAATGGTTGAAGTTGCCAACCCAGATGCTGATGTGAAATGGTTGAAGAACGGACAGGAGATCCAAGTGAGCGGCAGGTAAACTAGCTCAAAAAACAGGGAGAAATAGGAGCTGAGAAAGAACATAGTGATTTAGTTTGGGGTCTATTAAAATGAGAAAATATCGAGTTCACTGTTCTCATCACTGTTTCTTTTTCCCCCTGCCCCGTGCTCTATATGGACATGGAACTGAATGCTCACATCTACGCACTTAGCAAGTAAGTCTCAGATTACACTTTACTGTTTCTGTATGCATTTTAGGGTCAAGATGTCTTTATTTCTCATGATGTGAGACACATTTCAGTGTCAGTCATTTGTAAAACCAAATTCCAGACATTTTATGCTGAAGCCATGATGCTTGTATGAGGATTTCTTCTTAACTTCCTGACCTAGATTTTCAACACTGCTGCTGTGCACTGCACCACAATAGGGATACAGGGCTAGAGTTTTTAACCAACCTTTTCCTACCAGCTGATGTCAGGCAAAATGTGAAAACTTTTCTTCGTCACTGCCAGGCAGGGGGAACAGTGGATGGCAGCAGAAGAGACATTCTTTGAAAATTATATTTAGATTCTCTTTTCAGATACATTTTTGAAGCTGTTGGAAATAAGAGAATATTGACCATAAACCACTGCTCTCTGGCTGATGATGCAGCATATGAATGTGTGGTAGGTGAGGAGAAGAGCTTCACAGAATTATTTGTAAAAGGTGAGCAATGGAAGAAAAATTCAGGGAAGAGATCTTCCCTAACGTTTAGCACCACTAACTACTGTCACCTCCTTTTGTATTCTTAGGTGAGTTAGTCTCAGAGAAAAGGAAATTCTCTAACATATAAGCAAATTCTACTATCTACTGCAGTAGGTACTTAAAAGATTTTCCCTATAGCTGCAAATGAAAAAGCATGTTAAAAGAGCACAGTCATAATCATCATTAGTTCTCATTTCTAAAGTGATTGTTGCTTTCTCAAAAACAGGGCTGGAAATTTTCTTTAAAAATTGGATTTTGCTTGAAATAAATGCATGGCTCAAGTTTTATAAGCAGATCAAGTGGTATAGAAGATTAATGTCTCTGGTTTAGAACTTCAGAGTATAAATGAAAACTGATTAATCCTCTATAACCTGTCTTACAAAACAAAAACTGAAGGGTCAGTTGATAACACTGACAATATAACCTGGCATAGCTAATTTTAAATGTCAGCTTGGAGGGTATCAGCATATGTTTTGCCAGGAGTACTTCCTGTGGAATGCAGGTAGAGTGAATGAAGTCTACATCAGGTGTAGAGTCTTTCAGAGTACTGTTTTCCTTTCCTCTTCCAGAACCTCCAATTCTGATCACTCACCCACTGGAGGACCAGATGGTTATGGTTGGAGAGAGAGTAGAGTTTGAATGTGAAGTATCTGAGGAAGGAGCAACTGTGAAATGGTAAGGAAATATGAAAATAAATAAAATCAAACTATACTCTTCTATGGAACATTCTAGGACCAAAATTTGTAAAGACCACTGGAATTAAAAGGATGAAGGCATCCCACATCATCTGCGCTCAGAAAAAAAGAAAAAGTTTGAATCTCCTCCTATAAGTCAAAGGCTGAGGAGAAACTCAAGGGCCAGAACATTGCCAAAATCAAATGAGTAAGCGTAGATATTTTATAGTGCCTCCAGAACTCCTTGTTCTCTGGATTCTGCTGGCTTAAAGTTTTCTAAGTGCTTTAAAGTAATGCATAACTACACACACACATAACTGCACAAATTAATTATAATTAACTGTATTGCAATGACCTTGTTTTACATTATGGAATCTTCTGATCTCAACTGCAGGAAGTTTTTTTTTTTTTTTTTAATATTTTTTCTTGGGTTTGAAAGGTGATGTGTCTTGAGATGGGAAGGTCATTGACTTATTTTAACATATGTGTTATGTGGATTCTGCAAAGCGAGTCATGATGCATATGCAGCAAGCAGGATTAAAATGACAAATACTGAGTCCACAGAGTCCATTTTGTTCAACATTCCAGCTTCTCCTCTGCTGGAATGCTCACACTGCTCAGGCAGGCACAGCAAGCAGTGCTCACATACCAGCCCTTATGCACACTGTTCTCACTTCATTTCTCTAACAGATGAAATTCTCTTGTGCTTGTTAACAGCTTCAGCCACATGGTTATCAGCTATTCCCACAATGCCTATTACAGTCTTGTAAAGTGCTATCTCTCATCTGCTCTCTCAAAGGAAGGAACTGAGAATTTAAATAGAGCCCTATAGCTAGTACAGAGTATGCACTATGTTATTAAAACCACATCCACAAGTGCACACATGCTATTGTGCAGGGACTGCTTACAGATGTCTGGTCACAAGAGATGGGGATAACCATATCTGTTCCTCTGAAAATGACTGCAGCTGCCACACTTATCCCACAGAACTGCTGTTTGTGGGATGGGCATTTGGCCTGACAAGGGCAAAATGGCAGCTGTTTCTGCCTGAAGTGCAGCAGAGAAAGTCTTCAGCGCATAGCAACAGAAAACAGAGTAGGTAGCCATACGCTGTACTTTACTGTGCTCACTCTGTGAGATCCAATCAATATTCTTTGACAAGGACAAGGAGGGGAAATGTAAACATTCAGAGAATACAAGAAAGATGGTGCGGAGAAAAAGTTCCAGTTTTATGTCTCACTAGGGAAATGCTCAAAAACTCAAACGAAGCAACAGGCACTAATTCAAGGCACCTGTTACAGTTCTTGGACCTTTTAAACCTGGGAGATGATTAACAAGCACATGAATATAAGTAAAGTTGTGACCTGTGGAAGACAAATATAAAGCTTCCTGCCTCAGAGAGGGCCACTGAACTAGGGTTTGGAGACTTCATCGCGTGACTCTCTTACAGTGAGCAGAGAAGAATGTTCTCTTGATCACCTGGGAAGATCTCACATATTTATTACACAGAGCTACGGAACAGTTATCTCTAAACTTGAAATAGTCTTGGAAATCATGCAACTCTTAGAGGAGAAAAAAAGTGAAATTTGTAGTTTGGATTTGACTTTGCCATTTCTGGATGCTGGATGTACTATCTGATCAGCTCCAAATGAAAAAAAACTGTAGTAATGTAGTAATAGTAAATCTGAGTGCCCCTTCACTGTGCCAAAGATAGTGATATCTCAGAAGGTATTAATCCATTTCCCTTTACCACATATATAGGGAACAGGAAACCCTTTGCACATAGAGAACAGGTAGAGCAGCAAAGTTGAGAATCTTCACCTTTGATCTTGCAGATGTTCAGGAGCTAGATGGACAAAAATATGGCTGACCTAACACTGGTCTAATTCTGCTTCAAATGTGAGGTTGGATTGGATGATCTTTGGAAGTCCCTTTCAACCAATGTTTCTATGGTTCTATAAAATACTCCTCTTATACATTATCCACAGTTGTTGTTCTCTGCTTCATTGCTCTTTACGCAGGGCTATCTTACTTCATATCGTATTTTTAACTTTTCACTGCAGCAATGAATTATTTTATGTCAGGTTCTACCTGGGGGTCCTCTATTGAGGCTTACAGCTTTATCATTCCACCATCTGTCAGTAAACCCTTCTACACACAACCTTCTTATTATACACAGTGTCAGCAATGTGCTAGTCACTAAAGCAAACACAAGTAAAATATACTGCTCCCTTCCTGGGTATTTAAGATGCTACTTACTGCAAATAATCTACTTTCATTACTTAGACAAGATTTGAATAAATCTCTTTCTTATCCATGGCCGAATAAAACAGATATTTTTGATATGTCACATGTCAAAGCATATCAACAAAAGATAAGACCACCATCAAAACATATCACCAGAAAAATAAAAGAGCTGATTTTGGGAACACTAGCCGCAATGCACGTGCCTGCTTTTGTCTCTCACCAGCGTATTTATCTTTTGGATTACAGTCCACTCGCAGCAGTTCAGCAAAGGTTTATGCATCAAAGCACTTATTCCAGAACTGATCTGTGTCCACAAGAATATCAGCCTAGGGGAACGTCTTGCATGCGGCCTCAGACTCTTGCCACTTAGCAATCAGAGGAAACATTATCCTGGCATAGCACTAAGCACTCTGCTTCATGCGGGTGTTACAACCATTCTCTGTTTCCTCCCTAAGTAGTGTCATAATCCTGTGACATGGAAGGAAGGCCGATGTTTTTTTAAACCAACTGTAAATTCCAATAAGCTGTGCTCTGAGGAACAGCTAGAGGGCATAAACTACAGGTATTCTTAAATGAATTTGAAGTTGCAGAACATATATCTAAATCACTAATTGTAGGACTCCTATCTAAAGTTTTGATCTTGCATCTACTCCGCAGGCTTGTACATAAGCAAGAGGTTTCTTTGAATATGCCTACTCAGAGATTAGAGCTATTGTCTTTTAATGCATCCCTAAGTAGCAATCCAATTAGCTATCCCGTGAATATATTTGTTAACCTGAGCACTCATATTGCAATACTGGTAACCAATAAGCAAAATCACAGAGAGAAATTTCTTACTCTATTAAAAGAACTTTTTACTATTTTTTCCCCTATGAACAAGTATCAAACAGAAAGATTTTTTTAAGTTACAAATCTAAGTGGTATTATCAAATAATAATGAAAAATATAAATGCTAAAAATGAATACTTGAAGAAATTTCAAGTTATTTTCTTGTAATATGTTATTTGCAAATTACAGAAGGGAGAGCTATAAAAAGCTATATATATTTCTGTGCGACCTTGACTAAACAGCTTGAATCCCTCCACTATGATTGGAAATTGCAATAATTAAATTTCCTCCCAGGCTGGGTGACGAAGGTTAATTTAGTAATGTCTTAAAAATACCCTGACATCCTTGAATGGAAAGGGCTACAAAAAACCAAAATGATTTAAATGCATTCTAAAATCTTTATTTTTCCTGAGATGTGCAAACCATGAATTTGTAACCACTACAATCCACATTAGGAAAATCAAAAATTTAACAATTTTCCAACGTGTCCAGTTTTCCTTATGGCTCCTTTTAAGAGACTATATTCACTGCTGGCCAATTTTCTCATCATCACTGTATCTTTGCACAGCATTTAACCTGCACTATATCTCTAGCATATACATAATAACAATCAAGTAATCACCTGTGAATCGAGTCTCTTGAACTAAAACTCAACATTAACAATTAACAATTAACATATATAATAATGTCATATATAATATAATATAAAATTGTCAAGCTAGTAGGATTCTGTTGCTTAGCAGTTCTGGTTCCACTGACGTTTTGGAATTGGCCGCTTTTTTGCTAACTTGAAGCATTTCAATCAAAGACTAAGTTTATTTTGTGTTTTCTCATCTCTGGCAACACTAAGGTGACTCTTAATCTTCCACTTTTACAGAAAAGTGACTCAACATTGTTTGGCATTGCAGGGAAAAGGATGGAATTGAGCTGACACGGGAAGAAACCTTCAAATATAGATTTAAGAAAGATGGAACAAAGCACTATCTAATTATTAATGAGTCAACCAAGGAGGACAATGGACACTACACTGTGAAGACCAATGGTGGACAATCAGTCGCTGAGCTAATAGTACAAGGTAGGCACAGGTAGCATCACCGAAGCAGGGAAGCTAAAATTGAAAGTAAGCTAGAGGTACACATCTCCATGCTAGTGCATAGAGAAAGGATATTCCTTATCCCAGGAAAAAAAAAAATTAAGAAACGTAATAAGATTTATCATATAGGCCTCAAGGAGAACTCAGACCTGTGTGCCAGATGTAACAGATACCCCGATAGTAACAGGTGCTTAGCCTTAACTAGTCCTTATAAAGCCCTGCATGCTGTGAATTTCCCTTCATATTTCTCCTTTCCACAAAGAACCCTCACTGCTTCTGGTCAGCCCCAGGTTTTTCTGCTCAGTAAAGTCATACCAGCTATTTACTTTACAGATCTATTCTCGTTTGTTGATGTACTTATCAATTATTCCCACAAAATCAGAGAAAAAGCTGGAAGTTTACCAGAGCATTGCGGACCTGACAGTGAAGGCACGTGACCAGGCAGTCTTCAAATGTGAAGTTTCCGATGAGAATGTGAAAGGAATCTGGTTGAAAAATGGAAAGGAGGTGGTTCCAGATGAAAGGATAAAGATCTCTCATATTGGCAGGTCAGTCATGTTTCAGAAAGCATTTACAGGTTTGGGTATTGCATTACGAACTACAAGAATTGTTATCTCAGGGATCAAAATTAAAAGAAACTAGATTCTGTCTTGGCTCCAGTTAGGAGAAGAAAGTTAAAACCTCTTTATGCACAATTAACAAATAGACACAACTTTTTGTTGGTACATGTGCAGTCTTCCTGTGCTGATACCTTTTACCTGCATGATATCAGAGGTAGTTTAGCAGAATTCACCCTCAGTTTTCACTTGGATTTCATGTTGTCTTAGTATTGAAATCATCTAGAAAATATATTGATGGTAACATTAAAATTAACAGCAGCAGATAGATAAAGATGGCACTTATGTGTAAGCCTCTTTACAAAAAACTATATTTTACAATATAATTTTTAATATGTGTACAGCTGTACAATTTAGTGTTTAAGTTCCTTAGAAGCCTAGGTATTATTGTAAAAAAGACCAAGAAAATTTTTAAGGTACATAGGTACTACATCTATTGGATAACCTCTTCCTTGGTGCTCCTTTTTTTTTATAATCTGTTTGAAATTCACAGTAATAGAGGATTGTTTTTCATAGTCTACTTTATTCATCGTCTGATTAAATGAAAACAGTAAGCAATGAGATAATGACCTTTCTAGTGGTAAAAGTATTGGACTAAAGAAACTGCTCCTACATTCAAGCCAGCTCAGCTCTGAAATGTAGTGCACCTACCTTGAAAAGAAAAATAAACTCAAACTGATGAATTTACCTGATGAACTTGCTACTTAAAAGGAGCACTGTCCACAGCCCTAGTGGTTGTGTACGTGATGTTGGTGAAAAGAGAAACAGTAATGTCCCTTCGGAAACAATAGCCTACACGCCATCTCTTGATTTAGTCCTTTTTCCTCCTGGAAAGGTAGCAAAGGGGAATGTATTTGTTCATGTTTTCCAGAATCCATAAGCTAACTATTGAGGATGTAACACCAGGTGATGAGGCAGACTATTCCTTCATTCCTGAGGGATTTGCTTACAATCTTTCTGCCAAGCTCCAGTTTTTGGGTGAGTTATCTTAAAATATATAATGGGAATTCCGTAAGTGTAAAAAGGAGGAAGGAACCATGGTTACACTAGGGAAGGGTGTGGAGAATCCCTTTCCTGATACCAGAAGATAGGAACATTACATAGCTTTGTCTGATATTTTGTGGTGTTATTATTACGTTATTTTACAAAGTCTTGTCTCCTAGTTCATTGCATTCATTTGTTGAGTTTCATCCATTATATGATTCATATATATACTATTGTATAAATTTAATGACTGATCACTTTTAAAATTACTTTTTGAACACAAATGAAACACAAATTCTGTTTTCATACCTATTTCTCCCCCACACCTTTCTTTCTTTTTTCTCTCTCTCTCTTTTTTTTTATTTCCAGAGGTCAAGATCGATTTTGTACCAAGAGAAGGTAAGAACAAAAATCATTAGTTAATATGAAAGTAAACACGTTTATAATAGCAAAGGATACAAAATATTTTCGTTTTTGACGTAATGCGTGAGTATTCACCTCTTTTCATACAAAAGGCTCAAACCATATTTAAACCATATTTAAGATTTATTTTCTTTGCCTTTGCTATAGAACCTCCCAAAATCCACCTTGATTGTCTGGGCCAGTCCCCTGACACTATTGTCGTGGTGGCTGGGAACAAGTTGAGATTGGATGTTCCCATATCAGGAGATCCAACACCTACCATCATCTGGCAGAAAGTAAACAAGGTAATGGTAGTCTGACACAATAGCTCAGACAAAGAAGCCACAATAGGAAATTTGTTTTCTTCCTCAAATGCGACTTAGATTTGCAATTCTTGCCTACTGGTATTTTCACCATCATTTTAAAAGTAGCTTTAAAACTCAATTAAAAATAAAATAAAAAAGCTGCAATGCAGCCGTTATAAATGTTTCTGGAGAAGCCTTCTTGAACTGTTCTTTTTCTGATTTCTTCCCTTTTTTGTCCATTCCAAAATAAGGGGATGAATAGAAAATGCACATATATGCAGACAGAAGTATACCATACAGTGCGTTTATTCTATTCCTATTTCTAGAGAGAGGGCAGAGAGGGGGAGAGAGAGGGCGGGAGAGAGAGATCCTGAAGATGCAAATTTCTTTAATTTCTTTCCTAAGTGCTTTTCTGCAGTTTGTGAAGGAACTATATTCTTAACAAACTGGGTAGAACTCTATTTAGTTTACTGAAAATTTAGACTGTAAGAATTTAGAGGATGCATACTCTGGATGCCTTACCAGAGTAATTGCAAAACATCAAATAAATGAATTAGCAGCTAGAGAGTAGCTGTGACTTGAGCAGTAACTAGCACAAAACAGAGAAACATCTTGCATAAGATTCTACACCACTATTACACTTTCCATAAGTAGCATGAAAAAATGAACATCTACAGAGAAAAAGATAGCCTATTGTATTTACTTCCCCAACTTCATTTCCTCACAATTCTGGAACACTCTTTGTTCAGGTGAGCATATTTAGTAACACTTAAGACTTCCTTTTGCAATGCAGAAATGATTTCTAAAAAACAAAAAACACTTTTCTGACTGTTGTGCAGAAGTCCCCAAGAAAAATAAGGTTTGGTTTTGAGACAAATCCTACACTTTACTGTTCTAAGACATGAGATCTGAAAGATGCAGGAAAGAAACCAGGCTTGATTTGAAGGAAGGAAAAGATAAACTAATCAAGAATATTGTTTCATGTGTGTTACAGAGCTAACTTTCTGAGCAGTAAAACTTCTTCATAGACTTAATTCCATTATTATTGAAAGAAATAATCTTTGTTTCTCTAGTTACACAAGGTCATTAACTCAAAGGGACACAGAGATTCACAGCCAGTTACAATTCTGCAGAGAAGTCAGGCATCTTTGTTTATGAACTGTAAATTTGGTATTGCTGATTTATGCTTCCTTTAGTTCACTGCAGTCTGATAACTCTATATTTCATTTCTGCTTTCATATCGCTTGATTTCCTTCCCAGGTTTGTTTGCTCTCACTAGCTTTTCACTTTTGTCATGCCTTCATATTCAGACCCCTACAATATACCTATGGATTTTTCTCCTCTGTCTTGCAGAAGAAAACTTTATTGCTCTGCTCAGTAAGATTTAGCTGACTTTCTGTGGTTTCTTTGCTTATGTAGAAAACTGACCTTATCCTAAACAATGATGATTCCATGATAACCTCAGAAAACAGTGGTGATTTAAATACTGATAGTAAGGTAAGCTCCTTATTATTTATTCAGACACACAGATACATGGAAATAGAATCTGAACTACTATTTTTACAGCTTTTGAATAATTTCAGTAATCAGTACTATGAAATTTTTCACTAGCTACATGCAGGTTCATCAGGCTATCCCTGGCACCGCTTAGAATGACTATCTGTTCCTTTCACTGCCCACAGCTTCTGTTTGAATCTGAAGGCAGAGTTCGTGTGGAGATGCATGAAGACCACTGTGTCTTCATCATTGAAGGAGCGGAAAAGGAGGACGAGGGAGTATACAGAGTTATACTTAAGAATCCAGTGGGAGAAGATAAGGCTGATATCACAGTCAAAGTTATTGGTAAGTGAAGGCAGGAAATAAATAGGCCATGAAAATCCCTTGGGTTCATTGGGATTGGACCCATCTCTAAAATTAACACAAGATGTCTGTTCTGTGAAAAAGAGAACAATTCCCATATAATTCCACATACTTTCTTATATTTTCCAGTTTCAAGTGATTCTATCATTTATTTGCTATATTCCCCTCTGAAGAGTATTTTTTGTGCAAGTCTGAGAAATAATTTCTTGTCTTTTTTTTGTTGTGCTTTATCTTTAAATAAAGATGACTTCATTTATATGTAGTAAATGGTTAATGGAATAAAGAATTATATAATGTATCCGGCAAGATAAACACATTATAACTGTGAATCACAGAGCTGGAATACAATGTGATTCTGAGTCAGTATTTTTTAGATTTTTTTCACAGAATTAAACATCTTCATATCCTGCCACACATATGACAATAGGTTAGGTCATGAACAAACTTAGGAACAGTAAAATAAAATCTTTCTATGCTATTATAATTTGAAATTCACTGCTTTTGAAGTCATTAAGATGAATAGTAAATCTATTTTCATCTTTTATAAATCTTAAGTTAGGATACCTCTATTACAAATATCTCCACAAGAAAAAAAAATTGTGAGACATGCAGTATATTATAAGTTTGTTCTAGACAAAGTAGGAAACACTGGAGTGAGCCTCTTGTTACAGGTTTGAGAACAAATTATTAAGTAGTGTGAATTACTTCTAATTTGGCTAGTAGTACAGTTCTGTCCCCACTTTATTTTTTAATATGTAAAAGACCTTGTAAATGAGCACAATATCCAATTTGATATCTCCTTAGATAAAATTCATACAGGAGCTATTTTTTGTCTGCAATAGAACTCTCCACAAACCAAAGAAGGAAATATATATATATATATATATGTAATATAAAAATATTTTTAGATAGAAATATATAAATATATATTTTTTTTTTGGTTCATAGCATAAATATATGTCAGTCATGAATGACTGGATACAGAGACATTTACAAAGAGGTGGCCGTGTATGGGAAGAAGAGATTTGAATAATCAAATACTACTTAAAGAACACTAACCTAATTTGGAAGCATCAAAGAAAAGCATTTACTCTGGGCCAAGTAATGAATTTCATTTTATATCTTCTGTTTCAATCTGACAAGTTAGAAGCACTATGGCAATGAAAAAACCCTATGTCTTTTGTACATCTGAATAGAAAAATTTACAGGATGCCTATTTTTTTTCTTTCTTTCTTCTTCCTTTTTTATTTTTTATTTTTATTAAGAGAAAATTTAGATATTCAATATGGAGAAATGTTAAATAAAAAAAGTTTCATTACATTCATTGCCAAATATTCTTCAGATGTTCCTGATCCTCCAGAAGCCCCCATGATCAGCAACGTTGGAGAAGATTACTGTACGGTGCAGTGGCAACCCCCTAAATATGATGGTGGGCAACCAGTGCTAGGTAAGAAGTACTGAAATAAAAGTGAGACTACTGAGAGCATTGTATTTTGCTGCTCCTTTAACAGGATTCAATATTATTTATAAGTTTATTCATTCTACAAAGGGCAGACCTTCAGAAACTAACTACTCTAGGATAGCAATCCTTTGAAACTGCTCAGATTCTTGCCCTTCAAATTTAGAGTGAGAGTGCCCTCTATCTGTCCCATTGAAATCAGAAATATTTAAGCAACCGAGTTAATTCTCCCTTTAGATGAAAGTACCAAAATAAGTAGGAAGCATTAAAGCAGGAGATGATGCCAAAAGTAACTAAAGTTAAGTATTCCCTTTCAAGACTGAAATTTCAGTCAGTGCACTGGCCTTTGAACTTGCTTAGGAGTTCAACAGACTCTCAAACTCTCAGACTTCTCAAAACAGAGAAACAGCCACTTCAGTCATCAGTTCCAGCCCTCCACAGTCTCAAGCTGCCAAGTAATGCATGTTTCCATCAGAAGATGACTTCCTAATGCTACTTCATTCCAAACCAAAAACATACCATAGGTCACAAAATACTTCTCAATCTCTGTAATCATCTTAAAATGTCTACTCAAGACAAAAATTTTCTTCAGTTATAGGAAGCAAGCATAAAGGATCAAAAATATCACCAATACCATGGTAAATGTCTACTTAGAGTAATATTTGTTAAATAAAACTTGATGAGACTCTAAGGAGGGAAGAAAAAAAGAACATGGCAATATCAAAGACCATTGGAGTTTGAGTTTCTTTTTTAAAATACACTGAGACTATATAGACTGAGACTATATATGTGGATGCCAGGGCTAGAAATGCTCTAAAATTCTTCTGATTTCCTGCACAATACATAGATGACAATAATTCATATTTGACTTTGGATATTTAGACTGCATTTACTTCCTCAAGAATGGAATAAGCTATGGAATTAAGTAAGGTTAAGTTGTTAATTTCTTCCTTGTATCCTCTCAGGACGGACAAAACCACAAAGGAAGCAAGCAAGAAATCAACAACTTAAGCTATTAACAACTTAAACTAAGCCATATATCAACGGCTACTGCATTACCACAGCCAAAGCTTCCCAGTGTACCTTGACTAGGCAAAGTTCATGATTTAATTGTGCTTAGTTGGTAGAGCACACATTATTTGGGAAATATCCAAGGCACATTTTTGTTACTGTCAATAGAGTAAAACAGAATAAATAAAATAGAATGAAATATCCAGGTAAAAGCACAGGACGTTGTACTATCCAGTCAAACTAAGCTAAGAAAGCATGGTAAAAAGGTGCTGCTCAGGTATACCAAAGGCATACCTGCACATTTGACAGAGACAACCTTTGTCAAAAGCAGAGATTAATCACTGACCTATAGAGCAGGTGTCATTCAAGTGCATCAGCAGGGCACTGGAAAATAATTTAATACAAACTTTTCCATATGTGGAAGAACTTCTTTCCTGTGAGGGTGAGAGAGCACTGGAACAAGCTGCGGAGTCTCCTTCTTTGGATATCTTCAAAACTTGCCTGGATGTGACCCTGTGCCACGTGCTCTAGGTGTCCCTGTTGGAGCAGGGAGGTTGGACTAGACGATCTCTAGAGGTCCCTTCCAACCTCAACTGTTCTGTGATTCTGTGATTTTTCAACGCGTTGCACAACTATTCTCCATATCTATCGGGAATCATAGATAACGTTCCCATATAAGCATGCAGCTTCAGTTTCCTTCCCAAGGAAAACAATGCATGTTGTGGACTCACTCTGTTATAGACCTGAGTAAAAGCAGGGGTCTGGGCTCAGTTCTGGGGAGCACTCTGTGATACCAGCACTTTAGCACAGACAGAAATATCTAGCATAGGTTCTGTGATAACTCATTTGAGGGGGGAAAAAAAAAAAGGGAATTGTCAAACTGTTCTTCTAGCTAAATTTTTGCATTGGGACTTATGATATTAGGTGGTAATAAGAATATTGGAGTGCAGCTGAATGTAAGATTTTTTTTTAAACTCTTTGTCTTATCTAGCACAATTAAAGTCAATTTCTCCTTCACTAAAAAAGCCTTCTGATAAAGTACTGGGTGTTGTTTCTCTGCCATTAGAGGCGAATGACAGCATGTACACCAGAAAGATTTATGATTTATGTCAGTTCCACTAGTATCTCTAATTCACATACGTCTAAATAGAGTAATGTTGTTATATAACATGTAAAATATACTTAGAGCCTAGTGACAGACACAGAAAGACCAATCCAAATAGGTTGCGCTATGAAAAGTATAATTGTTCATGCAAGAATGTCACAGACAAAGTAACACAAGAGGACGCTGGAGGAAAATACCCAAGCTTTGCCCAATTCAGTTATGTGCAATAATTGTGGATCACGCCTGATACTGTCATGCCTTGGAAGAAGGATTTTCTCTTTTCCTGCGTGTAAACAATAATGTTGTAATTCCCTCACACCATAAGAGGTATCTTTTCCAGGCTATATTTTAGAGAGGAAGAAGAAGAAGAGCTATCGATGGATGAGACTGAACTTTGACCTTTTAAAAGAGCTAACCTACGAAGCCAAGCGAATGATTGAAGGAGTGGTTTATGAGATGCGGATTTATGCTGTGAATTCTATCGGCATGTCCCGGCCGAGCCCTCCCTCACAACCCTTCATGCCAATTGGTGAGTTTTACCACATTGTGTATTACTGCTAGGACAAAGCAAAGACCAGACAATTTTCACTTCCTCACTTCAATTGTCCGTACACTGAAAGCAAATATGTTTTTTTTAAAAAGAAAAAAAAAAAAAGACACGAACGGCCATCTCTATAGTCTACATTAATCAAGCTTTTCATTTGTCATCTTCCTCTTTTCCATCTCTCATTCCCTTCCTGAGAAGCACAGAGGTTCTAGTTTCATGAAATTGCTGATGAATTTCTAGTTATAATTAGAAGTGTGAGAGTCAAGCTGGGTCTGGAAAGGAGGGGAACTAATTGACAGAAATTTCCCTGTCCCTCTCAGCTTCCCCCCTACCCTAATGGGTGCAAATATCACAGTATCCCACCCAGTACTCCCTTAATCCTGGCCCCCTCCACAGCTAAAAGGATAGCTGATTAAGAAAATATTTGGAGAATGATTTTCTATAAATAATCCTCCCCATCTCAGCAGTCAGTATCTCTCGCAGTTCATGAGCTGGGAGCAAAGTGTAAGAGTCCTCAGAAAACCTGCCAAGAGCTTTAAAACAAAGAAACACAAAAATACAAGTCACTGGAGATTAGAATGACTAGAGTTGCTAAATCTACAAAGACCAGTGAAGGAGCACAACCTGCTGAAGGCGATAATGTAAAAGCAGATGATGCAGTGAATGGGTTAGAAAGAAAGGATACGCTGCAAGAAGGGTCTGATAATTCTGGATTTCAAGCACCCAACAGCTGGTCTGCAACAACAGAGGGCAAAGAGGAACCATCCAGAGGAGCTACGGAACAAAAAGGTCCAAAGTTTTCCTGGGATAGGCAGAGAATTACTTGATTAAGGATTAAGTTCACACTGTTGCTTCAGAGAAGAGGTTTGGTGTTTTGAATGTGTACTGCGTGGTTGTGTGTGCACGCAACTGCCTTTGCCTCCTGTGTGTGGTTCACAGTCCTTGCTCCAATTTCAGTATGAAAAAATGTGACTCAGCTACAGAAAGAAAACTGAGTGATATGCTTTATGTGATAATTTCAGGAACTAAGGTCAGTCTCCACGAGTGACACAGTTAATAAAACTGTATTTAACTTATTTTATATATGAATTATTTCTAAAATGTAAAATCTGTTAGCTATATTCAAAAATTTCAGTTTAGAATACATATTATACACATACGGTATGTCAAACATATACTTAACAGTAGTCTTTTAACATTTGTAATGACTGGATCATAACAGTATACATGGTATTTTGAGCAAGCTATCTTTCTGCTGTTTATTTTGAAACTTCTCTGCTAACTTCTGCTGATAATTTGACTCTTTCTCCAGTTTTTATTTATAAGAGAGTACAAAGAGCAACCACTATCTAGATCTCTTGTGCCTTCCCTATTACAGGAATCTGATGTTGCATTTCTGCTAAACGTAGTAGGTGCTACAGTTTATGATTGTGCTTGAAATAAATTCATTTTACTAAAGCATATAGGATCAGTAATGCAGATACTATTCACTACTACTAATCTTCAAACTCTCACAGTTATACTGCTATATCTCAGAAATTATTTCTATGTATTTCCTTACAGCTCCCCCAAGTGAGCCAACCCACTTCACAGTAGAAGATGTGTCTGACAGCACCGTTTCTTTGAAGTGGAGACCCCCTGAACGGATTGGAGCAGGGGGGTTAGATGGCTATATTGTGGAATACTGCAAAGATGGATGTAAGTAAGGAGTAGCACTAGGTAGTAGCAACTAAACATCATTAAAATACTACAGTTGCAAAAGTTTCATTGTGGTATCACAACAAACAGTCATATCCAGTATCATTACTACCAGGCCAATCAGAACCTGACTGCAACACCATGGCAGTCACAGCAACCTTAATAGCTTCACAATCATTGCCTTAAAACTTTGATACAGAAATGTACAAAAATACCAATATGGTTATATAGTGACTATTACAATACTTTTGTAGCATTCATAAATTGCGTATTTCCTAAAACAAGTACAATAATGCAACTGTAACATAATTAGTCAAATGTTGCAGTTATTTTCAAATAACTGTCACCTAGCCCCATTTAATACTTGCAATATGATAACAGAAAGTATAATTGCATCCCATCTACAACATTCCATGCACTGTAATGTTAGCACATAACTTTAATAAATTTAATTATGGTGTTTTCTCTATCACTAAGTGAAATTGCCATGTTACCTAAACTAAGGTTTTCTAAAGGGTATAATTTATCCAGAAATAATTTCTACTCTTTATTGAGATGTCATGATGGGATTATTAGGAGCTCTATGACCTCATCCTAGAAGAATGATTTGATCAATAGTACTTCTGTGTTATTGTAATACCTAAGAACAGGAACTGTTCTATAGTGTCAGAATGAAAAAGTGATAAAAACTTTCAACAGTTACGTGCTCAGTACATTTGGCTCTTACTATTTCATTCAGGCACTCACAAGAGATACACCTCTTCCACGAGGAAATTACATTAAGGCTTCGCCTGCTTGCTAAAAATGCCTTCAAAATACTTCCTTCCCCTTCCTGCTGCCGAAAACAAATGTAGAAAAACTCCACAGCTCTAAGCTCCCTCAAGATATAAGACAGAATGACAAAGAAACTAAGTTTACCTGAAACCTACCCTCACCCAAAGCCATTCTAAATAAAGCAGTTTTTATATTCCTGAACTCCATGTGTAAACAGAGTTTGTAGAACAAGATTTCTTTTTCCAGCTCAACTTACTTTATTCTAAGTGTGGTATTGCATGTAAAATCTATTCTACTGTAATTCAAATTTACTTTCAATAGTAGACATGGCACCAGTTTGGAAGCTTAATAAATTATTATACCATGCATACCCTGTACTTGCAGCTACAGAATGGATTCCAGCTCTTCCTGGCCTAACTGAACGTACAACTGCAGTGATTAAAGACCTGGTCACAGGCGACAAACTTCACTTTCGTGTAAAGGCTATAAATCTGGCTGGTGAGAGTGGAGCAGCAATAATCAAAGACCCTGTTACTGTTCAAGAGATTCTGCGTGAGTACCTAGAGTGAGTAAATCTCACTCATCTTTCTCCTTCAGTCAAAATCCTAATTATATTCACAGATCAGAAAAAATCCTGAGGGTGACGAGCCTACACCTTCTGCTGAGTATAACATACAAACAGTTCTCTCAGTTCCATTGGGAACAAAATATCTTCTGATGCTGAGAACATTATTATACTGTCCAGGTCTTATAGATCTAATGAGTAGGTAAATCTTCCTTCTTACCTTCAAAAATATGCAACTTTCACCTCCTGAAATAGTGCTGTCAGCATTTAAGAGACAATTTTTTAGATTTACTTTTCTGTTGGAAAAACTGTTTTAGGAATGTAAAAGATCATGTTGCATGGGAGGAGATGAGGGACTCTTTAAGTAAAAGTAGTTATCTGTATAATATGTCCTAGGTTATTAACACCCTGTATATCATCCAACAGCAATAGATTGTAATTCATTTGACTGCAGTCCAAGAGATATCAAGAGCCGCTAATAGCGAATTCACCAACCCTGACAGACATGAGGCGTTTGCCACAGTCTCAGCAACAGGACTCTGTGTAAATTAAACAAAACTAATGCATTTCAAAACCAAGTGGGCAAAAAGACAGACACTGCAACTGTATTTTAAGAAATGATTTTTATAAAAGCCTAAGGAAAGAACAGGGACACAGAGAAGACACAGAAACCTTCCCAGAGACTGAAAGAAAGAGCACATCACTGAGTGCTGCTATGAGAGAAACTGAGCACTAAGATCTGCTTTTGCTAATGAAAAGTGAGCTAATACTCTGATATTCTACTCCTCCCACCCCACCAAAATTTATGATTGAATTACTGTGCACAGGATGCCTATTTATTGATCATACTAAGAAATCTATTGATCATACTATTCTCTGAGTAAGTCCATAAACATCTCCAAATGACAATTTATAAGAAGCTGTAGTATTAATATAGCATTAATCATAGTCCACGCCAACTCTTTCACCCTAATATATCCTTTATCCCATCCGCTCCACTGGCTGCAAAGAACAGGAAGCCAACAGAGAAGAGTCACATTCAGTGGAATATTGACTTTTGGATGAGGTAAAAGTTCACAAGTCAATGGAATCTGCGCAGTGGCAAAGATATAAGTGTGATCTGCTACTTAATTTGTGTCCAGTATCCCCTAACTGTATAAACAGTCTTTGCTAAATTATCTTATGCTTGTAAGAGTTCAAGCGCCTCCTCTTTGCTGTTTAGTCTTGTTTCTCCTAAAGGTAGTATTTCAAATAATGAAAACCTTTGTGTTTAATATACTAATCCTTAAATGCAGAGCGTCCCAAAATCTGGCTGCCACGCCATCTCAGACAGACTCTGGTGAAGAAAGTGGGCGAGACGATCAATATTGTGATCCCTTTTCAGGTATGTGTTGGTTTCTATTTCGTTATGGGTATTTATCATTGCTTATCTAAAATAATGTTTGCCTTATGCAAGCTCCAATTGCAGTACTGAAAATACAGCTGAAATTTGCAAAAACATAAGAACTCAACCATCTCTTATTCTGGAGCCTATGTACATGGTGTTACTAGGACTCTAATTAGCCAAAAGTGTTTATATGCATTTCTGGACTACAAAAAACTAGAGCTTGTATATAAACAGACTATCACAACTGGCCCTGTACATAATTTGTGGATATAAAAATAGTAGATTGGGTATAGCTATGCATGAGTTTAAGGTGTAAAAAAAGTGTGCTATAACAAGATTTTCTGAGAGCATGCATTAACTATAGCTGCAGTTATAGCATGAAAATAAAAGAAAAAAGGCACTAATATGCACACTTAACAGTTGTCCTGTTTTTGCATTGTCTACAACTATCTATTTTCAACAACTTCTACAACAAACAATCTATTTTCTACAACTAAGCCATTATATTGAGTACTCTTAAAATACCACCTGCATTTTTTTCAGATACAGCGCTATAATCTCAAAATAGTGCAGTAATGTGTGTATGAAAGGAAAAAGGTCTTCTGGAGGAAAAAGGTCTCAGGAATGGAAATAGGAGCTGCAGATTGTGGTTCTCATACAGATATCCTGTATAATCCTAAATAAACCATTTTTGTTCCTTGTTCATTATCTGGAGAAACTACAATTTGTCTGCTGGCCACAGTTGATGTTTATGAAAGTACAAACTATCTTGTTAGTAAAGAGTTTTGAAATTCTCATGTGAAAGATGCTACAGATAGGCAAATTTTTTCAGCATTGGAGGCATACAGGCATATGTTATCTATTTTGCTTTTTGCTTGTTTGTTTGGGCAGTATCAGTGCAAAAAAAAAATTAAAGTCAATATAAGAGCCAAACCTATGTTTAAAAAACGTTTTCTGCCTCGTGGTTTCCAGCTTGCCCGAGCAGTTCGTTTCACAAAGAGGTATATCTAATCAGTAAACAGTTGCAAACCAGTACATGGAATAACTGCCGTGAATTGTATGCTTACATTGCTTTAACATAATCACATGCTTAATTTTATCTTTCATGTTTCTTATCCCCCAAAATTGTTACAATGGCCACTTCACTGAAGTCTAATCAGATACAAAATTGAGCATTCTATATATGTTATTTCTGGGTTACTTTAAGCCTTCAAAGACATTTTATTTAACAGACAGATATCTTTGTTATTTTTATATCTGAAGAAAATAAACACAGCTGTTAAAATTGCGGGGGTTACAGATTTCTGTCCTGTATTCCCCTATATCACCATCTTCTCAGCAGAATACCCCAACTCTTGCTTATGACAGCCTCGCCGCAATATTTCCCAAGAACTCCCAGGCCTCAGTTCCCTGTGCCAGAAAAACTACATTGGGTAACTAATCAGGAGCTTCACTTGCCTTGTGTGATTAGCTGTTACCAAATAAAATGGGTAAAGACTGAGTCATCCCTGACATTTACTTAGTTGGGACACTAAGTGAGGTTTCTGTGCTCCAACTTCTCACAAGTTTTCTACAAAACCGCGCTAAGCTAATCTTAGAGATTTCTAGTTCGTTGTCAGATCTAACTGAAATGAACTAAGTGATTCAAAAGCTGAATTCACTGACTAGCAAATAAATTATGCAATTGTACAAACTCTCTTCACCTTTAAGGTAGCTCTAAAAAAAAAAAAAAAAAAAAAAACAGTTAAAACTACTTCAAGGGCAATTTTTAGCCTAAGACCAAAACCAGAGGATTTTAATTCAAGAGATTTTTTTTAAAGTAGCAGAGTGAATTTCTTACTAGTGTTAGCTGCAATTTTTAGTACAGTTTTTAATATAATAAAAGCTACTTAGAGTACCCAATACTGGGCAGCTTTTTAAAAAAGAACATTGCAGTATTCATATTTTGAAAAAGCTTAAGTCATTGAGCATTTCTACTGAAGAAAAAAGCCTCTAAATAGACATGCCTTGACAAGGTATCCATTTGCAAATGTATTCAAATCTTTAGATGAAAATATACTGAAAAAAAGGAAAGTAAAGCATTGCTATTAGCCCATATTTTTTCCTCTTGAGTGTCTACAAGCACATTGGACATGCTGAAAGTAGGGGAATCAACACATTCTTATTTCAAAATTAACTACAAGTGCACAGGATTAACGGGATTTTATGCACCAGTCGAATAGATTCACAGTACTACTCAGCTGTTCCTTGCCCATCATTATGCATGAATATAAAAATCTGGAAAAAAAACATTTAAATTCGTTCTTCCCTTGCAGTAAAAGTCTCTGAGGTTTCCTTCGTGTGCTGTCTACTCACTTTACCTCTCACTATCTGCTCTGAGATTACCTATTACACATTAAAGAAATCCAGTCCCCTGGTATATGTATTAGGAACATGTTTTCTTTATGTTTAAGCTTCTGACTGCATAAAAGTACATGAAAAGCAACACCACAAACATGTGCAATCTCCTCAGATAACAAGTTATAATGAAAATACATGATCAAGAATGCTTGTAATCATGATTGCATTCATGTGCATGATTACATCAAGAATGATGTAAACATGCACATGAATCATGATGTAAACATCAGCAGTTGCAAAGCTTAATCTATAGTGAAGACATTTCTTAAGATGAAATATATCTAAGAAACTTCTTAGTGCTCTGATTTTTTCAGATATTTTTTACCAAGAAAACTAGATCTGCTATCCACTTTAAATTATTTCATCTCTTTTCCTGGTAGTTATAACTTTCCAAGTCAGTTGTTTTCATTTGAAAGATTCTTCCAGCCACAAATAGCAAATATAATTCTCATACCATTTAAAATATAAGTATATGTAAACAATTTTGTCAAGATCAATAGTCTATTATAGAGTTGAAGAAACCTGTTTTCTTTTACTTGTTCAAGAACAACTACTATAACTTCAAACTGAAGGAAGGAAGCCACCTCTTCCTCCAACTGTTTTTTGTAAGACTGTTCCATAAAATGAGACAAGGGTGAAGGTACACTTAAGCTGGACAAAATAACCTTGCAGCTAGTATCATAAAGCGACTGACCTAAGGTGATTTTTCTCCTTGCCAGGAGCAGTAAGAAAAATGGGGAAGATGGAAAATCCACAAAATTTCTCAAACAAAGTTCATTATCAGTCTTGACATAATAACAGTTTTGATACCACATTTGACGATTCAGAAAAGAGAGAATAAGTGTCTATTACAGAATAGCATTATTTTAGGTGGTTAGAAGCCAAGCATAATTGTGTCCACACCTCTGTCAGGCTCTTATTTAATACATTTTTCTAATACCACTTAAAATTTAAACTACGCCATAGCAAAGAGCAGACAAACCAGAAATAAAGTAGCAGCAAAACACAAAGGTTTATTTTTATTCCCCCTACTATTAGGCACCTAAGTGAAGGTCTGAGTATCCTAACATCCCTATGTAACCTACGGAAGAAGATAGACTTAAAGAAGGTTCCAGACATGTGGTGAATTGAAGAACCTTTTTGAGGTTATTTCTTTTACTGATTCCTAGTGCCGGAGCACAATATGAGTCCTAATTTCAGTGCCCTAGACTGCAGTTCCTAGGATGATCTAACTCTTGATCTAACTGTTGACCCACATTCACTTCTCACCCAGTTGTATTATTTCTGGCATTCATATAACCTTACACTGTGATGTTTTATCATGCTAATCTGACAAAAATTAAAACCAAACAAACAAACAAAAAGCAAATTATTTTCTGCTAGATTAGCTATAAACAAGGTTAATAAGTGTGATCTGGCCCACATCTGATTTCTTGGGATTCTTAATTTGGAGATGTACTATGGAAGTGGTACTTAAAGTACTTCTGAATAACTAAATATTATCTACCACATTTCCTGGAAATGTCTGACTTTGATGGTAACGCAAGCCACAAATATCCTAATGATTTCACAAGGTCATCTTTCATAGCAGTGGTGACGCTTCGTCCATTTAGACTGTCAACAGAATAATTTTTGCAATGCAGAAAGAGTTACACAGTATTTTTTACATCCTGAGACTTCGAGATGATAAGGTTTTTTTTCCAAGATTTTGTAAATATCTAGAGATAGGGAATCAAATCTTTTAAGGAAGGCAGGAGAAGGGGAGAAAAATTAGTAAACTCTTCACATATTAAAGACTTCTGTTACATAAGAATAACCACATAGATTCAGATCAACTGTCCATTTAACACAGATTCACAGAGTCTGAGAAATGGGAAAGAGCACAAGTGCAGCACAAATATTTTGTGATACTTACTCTCAGATTTTGATTATTTAAGTCTTAAAAAAAAAAAAAAAAAAAAAAAAACTTTTTTTCTCCCCAGGGTAAACCTAGACCCAAAGTCATTTGGATGAAAGATGGTCAAATGCTAGACTCCAAGGATGTGGGAATTCGAAACAGCAACACAGACACAATCCTCTTTATTAGAAAGGCAGAGCTTCATCATTCAGGAGCATACGAAGTCATTCTTCAAATAGAAAACATGACTGATAAAGTCAGGATAACGATTCAAATCATAGGTAAGAACCTGACATGAGCTTATCATACAGAACAAAGTAATATCCATGTTGGCTCTATCCAGAGATCCACATACCACAGAATCCTTTGACAACACTGGGCAGCAGACAACTAGCATGAAGGTAAGAGAAGGGCTAACATGCTGTGCTAGCTAGTGTATTTTCCTAACTTGAAATGATCTATATCCTAGACACTTTGACCACAGTTCTGCAGAAAACCTTTGAGAGTTCTGATATTTTTGAGAATAGCTGTATTGTTTCCACAGCAGGAAATAGGAATCCTGGAATAGAAATACTAGTATTGAGTATCTTCAGCACATAAGCAATGTGAAGATAAAATCACTACACTGGTCTACCTCTACTATTCTGAGAGTTAGAAATAACAACAGTCCTGTGAATTTACAAAATTTGCATTTAATACATCCACTAAAGTTGAACATAGGACAGATTTTTTTTTAAGCATTTAGCTGGCCTGAGCCTTAAGGCAGACAGTTCTCTATTATGCAATTTTTAGTTTATTTTCTTATCATGTCATTTTATAGGGATTGACTGCCAAAGTTTCAATAATTACCCTTGGGATTTTATGAGATATATTCTGGAATCTTGACTAATAAGAAGATTTCATCAATTTTCAGCCAGAATTCAAATTCTCCTCACAACAACTTTATCCAACATTCTGGTCAATTTTTATTTCTTTTACTTTGCTCGTTTATACTGCTATCTCAAATTTCCTCCAATGTAGCAACATTTTTTTGGAATGAGTGTTTTTATACAAGTCTAGTTTTTGACATAAATCTTAAAGCTTTGGAATGAAAGATATAGAGCTGACTGTATTCTGCTTAAAGTTTTATAAGGCAAAGTTAGAAGACTGGGTATGCAAGAGGGCTGCAGTTCTACAGTAGCAGATGGCAACTGAGACAAAATAATCCCAAGGATGAAGGGGAGTTGTGCATTTGAGACACCAAAATGACTTTCTAAAAATGAATAGTGATTCTAGATACACAGGATATCACTATTATAACAGTAACAAATATCTTTTGTCCACTGTCTAGTACTGTAAAAAAAAATGAGTATGTAAATGGACCAATGGTAAAAGACATATTTCATGCAAAAAACAAAAATTGCTTAAAGAAAAGTAAATCCTACCTGCCTGCTTTCATTTGTGTCAAAAGACATTTTGCTCTCCAAATTTTGTGTTCTCTTAGCAGGAAAGAAATATAGGTGATTCAAGCATGTCTTTTTGTATTAAGAGCAGTGCTTTAGTTGCTGTAAGGAGGCACACACGGAACAGCTGAATGGCTAAACAGCCAACCCAGCTTTCACAGATTTAGTCAATCATGAGCCTTTAAGGATTCTGTTAATCAGGTAACTTTCCTTAACAGATGTGTGCTTGATGAGGAACTAATGTTTCTTGCCCTTATCCTTACAGAGCAGGGCAAGAAGGCAGGTAACCAAGAGCTCTGCTGCAATGAGGGTCAGTACTTGTCAGTTTAAAGCAGGAAGAAACACCACCACCACCACCACCTGCCTTTACTCTGGAAACAATTGCTGTAGTTTACTCCAAAGATTTACAAAGTTTGGGCTTTTACTATGAAATTTACTATTTAAATTTCAAGTACTTAAGCATCTTAGATAATACAAATCTCTCTAATCTTTGAAAAATATGGCTCACCTCAAAATTATTCCCAAGTCAATCAGTAAATTATGTCTACTACTATAGTCAAAGAAGACCTTACTTGCTTTTATATTTTAAAATAATTTTTACTGTTCTGATTATTTATTATTTGAAATAAACTGCAGTAAATTTCAGTTTCTTTTTGAAAGATGGCAATTTAACCTTTATCTCTTCTTGCCATTCAATAAAAGTTAGTACTACACAAAATTTCTCAGAAAAGTTGAGGGCAACAAAAAATTCCAAACTCCCTGCTCAAATGGTTCCCACAGAGGAAAACAGCGTGAGAGATATACCGCTAGGACTAGCTTTCCCATCCTCCCGTCTAATTGCTGGTTTGAGATGCAATGGTTAATATTGACAAATCAACCTTCTACTGTTCTACAAAGGAATTTGAAATCTATGTTCTTGAAGCTTGTATTATCTCATAAAACCACAAAGATCAAGAATATAAATAAGTAATATAATCCATTCCCATGTTTTGAAAGATCACCCTTTGCTGTCTTGTGTCCTTTAGCACACTGTTTTTCTTTATTCTGTCTGTAACACCATGGATAGATTTGTCCTTTGTCTAGCTATCATAGAGAAATCTCACCAGCAGGCAAGCTAACAAGCACAGACAGAAAGGGAAAAGAGTCAGTATAAAAGTCTAAATACTACTCTTACCAAAATTATTTATTTTTCAGTATAATTTCACATGCATATTAAAAGGCTGGGGCAGAGAATCAATTAGTCCAAATGATTTTTCTAGTAGAGAAGCAGATAGCCATACCCACTAAATGCTGTTAATCTTGAAAAGATTATTTGGAAACATTTCCAGCACTCTATAGGTGACTTGAGAAACATCTCTAAGGCAGCGTAGTCATTATGAGCACTGCCAGGTAATACTGATTCAAACATCCCAGCATGGACTCCCTGTTTCTGCGGAAAACTAGATCAGTCTTCAGGGCCATCAATATTGTCTTGATCCCATTACTGGGAATGAAAACAAAGTGGAAACGCTCCATCGCGCAGCAGATGGATAGCTACGCTTGGTGGCATGACGCATCTAGGTTCTTGACCACCTTCTAAAGGCCAAACTCAATGGAAAAGGGGTACTTGTGGTAGAGTTCATGGACACAACACGGTTGTTATGAGCATCTCACAGAAAAGTTGGCCGATTTCCCTCTTCAAAATACTATACATGCTGTGGTAAGATTCTCTGCCTCGCCCCTCACCGTTTTTCTTAATAAGTCCGTGATGGCAGCATGCTAATCAGCTTGGGAGTCAGATTTTTTCCGACAGTCCTAAAGTTTCTTATTTCATGAATGAGTTGTATTTCACCTGCCTTTCAGTGATGACTCAAGAAAATGACATTTAGAGGCTGGGCAACATGCAAGACTTCCAGGTTTGTTTCTTCAAACAAGTTGTAGCCCTGTTCTTTTTGAAGACTGAGATGCATTTTCAAGCTGACCATCACAAGTGAAATGATCATACATTCCCAAATGGCTGGCCTTCCTTATCCAAGAGAAATGCACCTCCAATTGCCTGTGTGGTTGCTGTTTATGTTGCTCTAAGCGCACCTAAATGACTGGGAAATTGCACTGACTGAGTAAAAACTACATGTAATAAATCTGAAAGAGTTAATCAAACCCATCCAAACACCATAGCTCTTATTCGATTTAAAGGAAGAGCTTGTCTGGTCTTTACATTAGTAATTCTAATGTGTTATCTTTTCCTCAGTAACCTTCAGGCCTGCCAAAACAGTATTAAGAAGCGCATTTGAAAAATTTGAAAAAGTTTCCTGTTTACAGTCTGAGCTTCACATAAGTTAAATGTATTGTTATGGAACAATCAGACACTGGTATAGAGTTGTATTTTTTCCCTGTATGGGAAGAAATGACAAAGATCTCAGATGTGGAACCAGAAGGTAAGATATTTTTCATGTCTCTGCAGACAAGCCTGGCCCACCTCAGGATATAACTCTTGTGGATGTGTGGGGATTTAATGCTGCCCTGGAGTGGAAACCTCCACAAGATGATGGTAACGCACAGATCTTGGGCTACACAGTCCAGAAAGCTGACAAAAAGACAATGGTGAGAAATTGTGACCTGACAGTGATTCTGTGTGCAGTTAAAACTTCTCCCTGCTCTGGGAAGACCTAAGGAAAAAAGTTAAATTCCTGACCCTCACTTACATGCCCAGGGTGTCCTGTGGCACATAGAAGACAGTTAAGTACTTAAAAATGGGATCTAAAAAGAATCAAAAGGATCGGTGAAACTGTTTTATGGCATTATGATAGTTTTGGCAAGTGCAGGGAGAAACAGAAGGGGAGCAAGGAGGTGTTAGACTGGAACTCAGATGCTGGGCACTCAAGGGTGTATACTGGGAAGGTGAATGCTGAGTGGTGTGGGTGTGAGTGTGGCACTCAGACTGCAAAACGTCTCTTTCAGAAAAGTCCCCTTCAGGCAGTCATGTCCTGGGAATACACTCTGGATCATGTTCTCCAGATACGAGTAAGGCTAAAGTGAAAAGAGCTTTTCTTCAAAATCTTCATGCAACTACTATGCTAACCAGAGAACAAATTTAAGAAAATAGATTAGCTTATCTTTACTGGAAGCAAAATAATGTTCGTTTTCCAAAGTTACTGTTGAACATCCGTCTTTCCCTTGTAGCAAGAAGGGTCTCTACACCAAAGGTAGCACCATGGCTGACCTTTCATAGCCTCTTTCTAAACAGTGCAGTCTTGTTACAGGAATGGTATACTGTTTTTGACCACTATCGTCGCACGAACTGTGTAGTGTCAGACCTGATTATGGGAAATGAGTATTTTTTTCGAGTCTTCAGTGAAAATTTGTGTGGATTGAGTGAAACTGCTGCAACCACCAAAAATCCTGCCTATATTCAAAAAACAGGTAACATATTCTTCAAAACAAAAGTTTATAAGTACTACAGGAATTACTTCAGTAAAGGAAAAATATAGAATTGCTAGATGAACCAGTAGAGACCTTTGCATTACTAACTAGCACTTACAAAGCATTTTAGCAGGAAGACACATTGTCTAAACAGACCTCCTGTACTAATAACTATGTATTTTCGAAAACCGTGAAACACATAGTCTTCCTAAATTGTATTATTTTAACAAAATAATACAAGTGGCCATTATACTTACATTCTGGGGTTAAAATTTTAAGATCTGTGGGGTCAAGGTTTCCTCTGCAGACATATGATTTTCATATTTAATATCTTATGATTCTCAGGACCTTTAACTAAAGCATTAAACATGAAGCATATGTTAAAGAAAGAGATTTGTTATATTCTCAGGCTTCCTTAAATCACATAGGCAAATTAAAACAGCAAATGCGTTGTACACAACTGAGCATAATTTAAAACACTTACTGTCTTGTTTCTTTGACTTGCAGGCACCACTTATAAACCACCTAGTTACAAAGAACATGACTTCTCTGAACCGCCTAAATTCACTCACCCCTTAGTGAACCGTTCTGTGATAGCAGGATATAACACCACACTCAGCTGTGCTGTACGAGGAATCCCTAAGGTACTCAAATACTGTTGCAACAAGCCAATAGGCTACCTTAGAATTCCTGCCACTTCAGCATAACTACAGAGTAATAGGGCAGTATTAAGGAACAGCAGCACACCTCCCCAGTCATGCCCTTCCTCAGCCATAACTAATACTTAGTGGTAATGTAGGGTATATGTTTGTGTGACTGTAGGCACAACCAGAAAGGGGAATGAAACACAGGAATATCTTTTTTTTCTTTTTCCTGGGTTATACTTCAGCTCTTTTCCCTGATGTCATTCCCCAAACAACTACACTAAGTAGGTAGGGCAAGACAGATGAAATGACAGTCACTGTTTATGCTCACGCTACCATTGAAAATATGTATGTAAAACCTATTCCCTAAAGAAGGCAAAAACTTCACATCTTGTCACAATGTACTTTCAACTCTCTTCACGCTTAAGGGATAAGAGCAGCTAATGTAATATACTGTTCGTCTAACAGTATAATACACAAAAAACCCCAATTTTTCTCTTACATTAATACAGCCACTTAACTTTTTGATAGTCTAAGTTATATAGCAAAATTAGATAGCATATGATCTGCTATTATGTGTGAAGTTTTGGGAAGGAGAGGGAGGTCAAATCTCACAGGGATATTTCCTCTCTCTAAATATATTTTTGAACTCTCTTCAGAGAGTACGGGAGGATGCACTTTCGTAAGAGTCAAGAACAAGCAGCAAATACTGTACAAGCTAGGAGTTAAATTTAGATTTCTCAAAAAAGGGAACAGGCTCTTTGCAGAGAAGGAATTTACCATATTATGACATAACCTTGTCATAAATTTAAATTAGTACCATCCCCAAAATTGCAGTACCCCTTTTCCTTCCCATTCCAGCTATTTATTTTCAATTTCTATCCCTTCTTCATGACAGCACAAGCCTTTGATAGCTACACAGCAAAATATATAAGGTAATTGATCCAAATTCAAATTAAGTTAGGGAACAAAGGTAGTCATAATGTAATCATTTTCTGTAGTTCACTGGATGGAGAAGGAGTTCCAAAAAATATTCAAATATAAAAGGAAGCAGACTCACATAAACAGCTGCAAAAGAACAAGAACAGGAACAGCACAGAAACACCAGCCAAGTGTGGGCAAAATTCATCTTTCAGTAGCTGCCTCAGCTTTAATTTGTTATGAAATGGTAGTATGTTCCTTCTTGGTTAACTGACCTTTTCATGCATCTCCACCTAAATATGGCATTGAGTTGCCATAGTTTTAAATAAGATTCTAATTAAAAAAATCTCATTCTTCAGCACACTGAATACTCTGGAAGCAACTTTTCCATATTTCCATATACATACTGCAAAACCCTACAATATTTTTTTCTCTCACAGACAATAACTGCTGTTGTTAGCTTTGCAATTTTGAATGGCTAGAAATTATCAAATTTATCTTAAATATGATCTAAATAGTACGAAAGAGTTGCTATTTCAGCAGAGCCAATAAACATGCCCTGGTAGCAGTGCTGAAATAAAACAAACATATCCAGAAAGAGAGAGAAGCTATAGAAAAAGATGCAAAAAAATTTGAGGCAGGAAAAAGTCCAGCTGATATCTTTAAAAAAATTAATAGGGAACCCACTGAATTGTGTATCAAGGCCAAAGACACAAATGATTCAATAGGTTAGAATACATTTTATAAAACAGTGCAGCAGGTGTATTCCTTCTTTATAGGTGGAGAAACAGAAGGAGAAGCTGTTAAATCTGAGAGTAAAATAGATGATCCAAAGCTTCATCATCTACTTTTTAAACCATAATTCTTCATCGGTACTAATGAACTTCAAAGGAACAAAAGCAGTATGCCCTAGATTTTTGTTTTCATTTTGGTTATAAAAGGCAAGTTTTCAGAAGTTTACCATAATTAAAACATACTAGCTTGAATTGCCATAGAGATGAGTATTTTATTGCTTAACAGATAACAGCAGGAACTTTATTTTGAATACTAGAATTGCAGAAGAG